AGGCCCCCAGCCAGGGTGCCCGGCTCTTCCTGACTCTCTCTCTGCCCTTTCCCCGGCCTGTGCCAACCATCCCTTCCTCAGACCTCACAAATCCGGTTTCCAGATAAAATGCAGGACACTCATGAGATCAGAATTTTGGGTAAACAGTGCGTTAGTGTAAGTACGTCCCAAATAGCGCACCGGGCATACTTTAAAAAGTTATTTGTTGCTTACCTGAAATTCAGATCTTTATTTGCTAAGTCTAGCAGCCATACCCACAACTACATCTCCTGCGGCCACTGTTGGTCGGGTGGATTTGATTACAGGCCCTGGGGGGGGGGCACCCTGGTGGTTTCAGGGTGCTTGGGTGCTCTGGAATGCCTCAGCTGATTATCACTCGCCAAGCCTGGGACTAGGGACAAGTTCTGTTACTCCCGCTGTCCGAGTGCTGTCTTCCAGTTGACCCGAGGCCCGTGATCACCCGCCCCACCTCTGCTGCCCCAAGGTCTAGCCATGTTAATATACTGTCTCGTCTTGTTCTGGGGGGTTCCATGTGCCGAGAGGTGCTTTCTAGAAAGAATAGGACCATCTGGCAGTCAATCAAAAGAGAGGCGGATTAAACAGCCTGCCCGCCCTTCTCTGGCGGCTCCAGGAGCTCGTGATCGGCCACCAGGGGGCGCAAGGGGGGGCCACAGAGTATAAGGCAGACGGAGGAGGCCTTTGCTGGGATCTTGAGGTGGGAGGTGCCCAGCCCAGGTCCTGGACGTGTTCCGGGCACCAGGCCTGAAGGCCCAGCCGGAGGAGGTCTTCTGGTCAACTCCGCGGGGTCTGTTGTGGGATGGGACCCGCCTGGTGGCCGATGGAGGGGGTGCGGCTGGGCCTCAGACGGCGAAGGGACCTGGGAGAAGGGGATGACGGTGGGTGTGTGGAGGCACCGGGCTGGTCTGGGGTCACCGCAGTGTCAGGACCACGTGGGCAGCAGCAGGGGCAGGGCTGGCACCGCCGTCCCTCTGGGATCACAGATCACGGATCTTGGGTGAGAACAGGCTCTCCTGGGATGGGTGGGCCGGGGATCAGCATTGCTGGGCGGGTGTAGGAGCCAGGCCCTGATGGGGCAGGAGGGGCATGTGTTGGAAGGACAGGGGTGGGTACTGACAAGGGACGAGCTCAGGTCACAGGAGAGGTGTGAGCTGAAGGGGAGGAAGGGGGGCAGGGGCCAGTCTCCGGGACTGAGAGACGGGCCTGGGTGGGGCGGGGGACGAAAGAGCAGGAGGCAGTTTCCCGGAGCAGGAACTCACCCCAGGTGCTGGGAACACCGAGGTCCCTGGCAGTCAAGGAACCTGGGCTGGGTGTCGGGCTGGAGCAGTCTCGCGAATATGTAATAGACTTCCAGGGGACACTCAGGTGCAAAAGTGCACAGGGAGGCAGCCTGTTGGGCCTCTGCCTCCCCCAGCTGAGCAGCCTTCTACTCCTTACATTTCCAGCCCCCGAAGCCTGAAGCCTGCCTCGGGCAGCCACTCCCCCGTGGGACTGCCCCTGCCCTCTGTGGCCTGGGTGAGTCAGTCGCCCGCGGTGCTGGGTGCTGGGTGCTGGGTGCTGGGTGGGTTTGCTCGCTCTCCTTGCTGGATAACCTTCCATCTTGTCCCGTCTGTGGCCGATGGCCTTTGGGTTGCTTTCAGAGAATATTCTTGCTCCTTTAGTGTTCGGCGGGTACGTGGGGTGGGATCGTGCTCCCGGGGGCATGTCCAGCTTTAGTGGGCACTGCCCGAGGCTCCCAGTGGAGGCCGCACCACCGCGGGGTGAAGTACCAGGGGGGTGGCGGGCGTGGGAGGCCAGGCGGGGTATCGGGATGGCCAGGGGCGAGAACCCTCAGAGCCTTTGCTTGTTTGAGTTGTTTTTGTGACAGCTGGACAGGGCACGAGGAGCGGGGAGCGTGAGGACTGAGCGGCACCTGTGGGTTTGGTGCTCCCGAAAGAGTCCCACTAGGGAACCGGACTTTGGTTACACACGTGACGGGGGGGTAATTTTCACGGGGCAGGACATGGAGGGTGTCAGGGATCAAGCCCTCACAGTGGCTTGCCGCAGCCCCCGCTGCAAGGCCCGCCCGCTCCCCAGGCTCATCGGCTCTACCTGCACCCCCGGGGCCAGATTTAGGGTCTCCTCCCTTCGGTTGGGCGGACTCTGACTTGGGGACACTGTCGAGCAGCAGGAGAGCCATGAAGACGGGCACCGGCCATTCGGGAAAGCACTGGGCCCGGTGGGGAACGGAGGCAGACCGGGGCTGCCGGCCGCTTCGCTGTTATTCACCCCGAGCGCCCTGTGAAACGGGTGGTGGTCTTCCCGGCCTGTTCGCCTCGCTGGTGTCTGGCTCCCTATGAAACGGGTTAATCCTAGCTGGACCGGGCGTGGTGTGGATTAAAGAGACTGCTCCCTCCTGCTGGTGAAACTGGGAGGCGGGGCAGGGGATTAGAGACCTCTGAGCACATCATGTGGGGCCGGGCCACCTGCCCCCACAGCCGTGCACCCCGGATTTCCCCGGGATCTGCGCCTGTGGACGCACCGGGGTGACTGGCTCTGCGAGGGGAACTGGGGGGGGCTTTGCCTGGTGGGTGGGACCCCTGCCGCGGCGCCCAGCCTTCAGGGACAGGAGTGTCCTGCGTGGGGCTTTGAGACGCGGTGAGGGGAGGTGGGGGCGGAATGCAAATTTGGAAGCCAGGGGTTTTGTTTGTTTGTAATCCTCACCTGAGGATATTTTCCATTGATTTTTAGGGAGAGTGAAAGACAGAAAGACAGAGAAATATCGATGAGAGAAACACATCGATTGGTTGCCTCCTGTGTGCGCCCCAACCAGCACCTGGGCCCGGGAGGAGCCTGCAACCAAGGTACGTGCCCTTGACTGGAATCGAACCCGGGACCCTTTGGTCTGCAGGCCGAGGCTCTATCCACTGAGCCACACCGGCTAGGGCACCATAGGGCTTTGTAAGGTGTGGGGGGGTGGCCTCCTCTAAGAGCTGTACATCTACAGGGGTCATGGGAGAAAGAAAAGCGAGCCAGGGTGGAGCAGGGGGTATCTGGCGTGCTGCCCATGCTGGCCCCTCCCCATATCTGACTCCCCCTCCTCGCCACTCCCACCCTGTGTGCGCACGGCCCAGCCCAAGGCCACCGGGTAAAGGTGGGCTTCCCAAGGACCTACTCTGATTAAGGGGCTTTCCCTCTAGGGCTGAGGACTGAGGCTACACCATCCTGTACCCAAAGGACAAGAAAGTGCCCCCCCCCCAGCTGCATTAGAGTGGCCGGTGGAGGCTCATGTCCCTCCTCCCTTGGGCAACACTGTCGGGGTGCCCTGGGCTCCCCTGAGCCCTGCCCACCCCTCCTGCTCTCCTGGGCTCCGATGACCGGAGCGAGGGCCGCTCTATGGGTACTTCTGGCTTCGAGGAAAGGGTGGGGAGAGCACCCGTGTTTAATCCCCAAAGCAGCCGGGGCGGGGTGCGGGGCGGGGGCAGGCACGAAGGAATGTGCTGTCAGCTTCGGGGCTGGCCCCACCCCAGGTGCAGCTACAAAAGGGGCGAGAGGCACCCTCACCCTGGCCCCTCCCCAGACCGCTGACCAACAGAACAGGTGCCAGCACCTTCATTTCCCAGAGGCGTCCTGAGCCCGGGCACCCAGAGGGGCCCCCGCAGCGAGGATGTCCACGCAGAGCATTCACTGCCTGCCGCCCGTG